ACCTTGCTCATCTCTTTTTTGAGGGTACAGTTTCCACCCAATTCATGTACAATGTACAGTGAAATACAGTTAATGGCCCGGGAGTTAAAGGTTATTCAAAAGTTTCATTTTAAACGTTAAGTTTCTGTGAGTTTTTACATGATAATTTACTTAATTTAGTACCACGAATGGATTTAGCATTACAATAATTTAACAATATCACTTTCATGTTCATAACAACAACTAATTATACCAACAACAATTACATCACATAATATTCATATTTATAACTAACAAACGTAAAATTTTTAATTTTACCAAGTTAATTGTTTATTTTATTATAACCCACACATATTAATTAATAATAATAATTACCAAGTTATACATTAATGCCCGCAAAAGTCAATATTGAACGTATTGTAAACGCACCGGTAGTATAGCAATTGAGGTGAAAAAAATGTTTTAAAAAGGTTGATCTCCAGAATCACGGGCAATGAAAGTGCAGGAATTTCTAGAGCGGTAATAAACTTATAAACTATTTCTGGCTATGGCGCTGATAAGGTCGCCACCTGTCGTATTGCTCGACGAGACCACGAGTGGCGTAGACCCTGTGGCCCGGCGTAAAATGTGGGCCATAAGCCGTATACAGTATTATATAATAGCGGGTCATGTATTATATTAAGCTCACACATGCATGTATGCCAAGCCCTGTGCGATAGGATAGCCATAATGTTTGCGGGCCAGTTCAAGTGCATCGGTAGACACACAATATTTGCGCAGTTTGGCCATGGTTAATACGTTACAAGTAATTTAGTAGATTAGTAATCAAGTAGATTAACTATAACCGCTAGATGGCAAAATAGTTATGGCCTAATTTTATAACTGTTATATAAACATTATGCTATTTATAAATAAGGAATTCAACGTAAATAATATTAGTGCGTCTCTAAAATAAATTAAGCGTTATAAGCATTGTATTATTATATAATTTTATAATAACTAATTAATAATTATTGTATAAAACATTTCTAATACATTTAATTCATAAATTTAAATCATTAATGTGTTTAATGAAATAATATTTTTGTTATGATCTTAACATTGTTTTAATGTTGTGATTACTTATGCCAAATATGGCTAAAATTTTGAATAAATTTGACATTTGTGCCAAAATACCTCAAACTTTGAGACAAGAAATCAAATTATTTCATGTTTTCAATGACCATATTTATGGAAAAAACATGTTGTTTGTGACAACTGCTGATCGGGTCTATGGGTTGGGCAATAATAGGTATGGAGTGTTGGGTTTGGGTCACAAATCACCCATACATACACCTCAAGAAGTGCTACAATTAAATCATCAAAATATACAACAATTTTTCATTGGAAATGAATTTGTGTTGGCTTTAAATAGCGATCACCAGATATACGGCTGGGGTTTATATGAGACTCACAATGAAGACACTTATACTAAACCGCACAAAATATTATTATGTAATTCACATGATATACGTATTAAAAAAATATCAATTTTTTGGGAAACAATTATTGCTCTGACATCCGATGGACGGGTCTATCAATGGGTATATAAGGTGTTGGACAGACATATGCCGATTAAAATACAATTTCCCGATGAATATAAAATTGTGAATATTTTGTGCTGTTGCGACTCGTTTGGCATTACATCCAATGGAGAGGTGTTTATGTGGAGTAATGACAGATACAGTGAAACAAGAAATACACCACAATTATTAATAAAAGTCAAAAATATAAAAATTGTATGTAACATAGAAACAGAAATACTTATGTTATCAAATGATAACAAAGTTTATTATTATGGTTCAAAAAGTAGGAATATCGTTATGATTACAAATCTGTTGTTTACTGATCTAGCGGAATTGAGTTATAGAACTATTGTTGGAATTAGCGGTGGAAAAGTGTATAGATACGATAAAGATAGACAAATATTTATTGAGACAAAATTTACTACATTTGATGAATATTTTATTAATGAATGGGATGTAACTTATAAAACAATTGATTGTGTTCAAACATTTAATACAATAAAACATTATGGTAAGTCAGGAATAATAATTGAGTTAATATTAACTATTATATTAACTAGTTATAAATTATTTTAGAAACCAATCATGAAATAAATAACATAGAAATGTATAAAACACTGGAAATGTTAGGATCGGGTAGTTTTGGTGAAGTATATAAAGTAAGGGATAAACACATTAAAAAGGAATACGCGATTAAAATATGTTCATTAAATGGTAAATATTTTATTAATACTGTATATAAATATCAATATTTTTTATTATATTAATTGAATTAATATTTATGTAATTTTAAGGTTTGACAGAAAAGAACAAACAAAATGTTTTGACTGAAACGACAAAATTGTTAGATTTGCGCTCAGAATATGTAATAAAATACTACAATTCATGGATTGAAAATAACTGTTTACACATTCTTATGGAGTGTTTGGACGGAAGTTTAGCACAACTTTTAGAAAGTAAACCGCAATTATTTGGGGAAATAATGACTAAATTTGAATATTATATATCATATGATTTATTCAAACAATTGGTCGAAAGTGTAAAGTATTTGCATAAAAATAATATCATTCACAGAGATCTCAAACCCGATAATGTGTTGATTAAAAATAATTATTTGTATAATAGTGAAATAAAGTTTTATGAAAGATATATAAAGTTATGTGACTTCGGTTTGTCTAAATCCGAGGATGTATTGAGTGATAAATACAAACAAAGTAGTGTTAAACACACCAAAGATGTCGGAAATGTTGAATATATGGCACCCGAAGGACAGACCACTGAATACAACCATTTAATAGATGTCTATAGTCTGGCACTCATTGGAGCAGAAATTTTTAGATTTAATTCAAAAGATGTTCAAAACGGAAAGTATGTTATTATATGATATTTTATATGTTATATATAATATAGATTACAATTATATTTTCAGGGTGCATTTAAATAATAATATTAATAATAATAACGTTAATCTCGAAAATAAATTACAAGAAATAAACGAATTATTGCTTTCAATGAGTGTTAGTATATATACAGAGAGTTATGGAAAGACTGATTGGAGACTAAGACCCGAATGTGAAGTCATTTTAGAAAAAGTAAAACATTTATCGATTGAACCGATTTTTGAGAAAAATGATTTGATATATAATTATTCTGCTGAAAATAAATTTCGTAAACTGATTTACGAGTATTATTGTAAAATGGTCATGCTTAAATGAATGACCACGCTTAAAGCACATTTCGTAGCTCCAAATGTGTCTATTCCGGTGAAATCTAGGTTTATGTTGATGAGTGCATGAACTTGGCTCAGCTCAAAGACATGCAACAAACCATCATTTCCTATAACATCCTACCTGACAGTGGAGTGTATTGTTTCAGGTGATAGAAAAGGCTAAACTGCAATTGCAACTCAAGAAATGTTACAGTTGGCGACACTACTCTCGACCATATATTCCTACTTGTGATTGGCCCGTATGGTGGGTGTGAGCGCCGCATAATAATTTAGTGTATGACTTATCAGAAAATTATATTATTTGTGGTTTTTTTTTTAAAAATTACAATCCACTCTTCAATACACTATACAGCAGTTTTAATGTTGTGTTTGTGATTAATTCATTAATTATTACAGCAACTATCTTATCAAATGTGATTTAAACCGTTTGATTTAATTAACAATTTTTATCATGTTTTAAGTTTTATGTTTTTAATTTGCTAATTAATTGTGGATTTTATTATATAATGGAATTAATTAAAACAATTGGTTGTATAATAAGTTTTTGTAATAAAAATATTTTTATATGCTTTTAATGTAATTTTGTAGTTTTAATGTGTCTTTAATTAAGTATTTATTTATTATATATATAAATAATAGACTAAAATATCTCTCAAAGTTATACTCAATTTGTGTTTTAATTAATTGGTTTTATAGTTATAACTGAATTTAATATTGTCAACAAATATTTGTAATTTTTAACTAAATATTTTGTAAAAAAAATTAATTTTTAAATAATTTTTTGTATTATAGTTAATATTAATTTATTTAAATAATTGCAATAATAACATAAACAGTAATCAATAATTTAAAATAATAGCCAATTTCATAAGAAATAATTCACAATTAAACCATCCAAACAGTGCTATAAACAAAATTTTCAAACAATTAAAATAATTAATCTGTAAAAATTCTGTATTCAATAATAAGCAAACATTATGTTATTTTTTCAATAGTTTTCATTTAATTTAATAAACATTTTTAATTCAACAGAACATCACTCAATAATTGTTTAAAATATTAATCAATTTTTAAATAAAAATTATTTTATAAATTACATAATTATAAAGACTTCACATTTATTAAAAAGTATATAAAATAAAGAAAGATTTAATAAGTCATACAAAACAATTTGATTGCATAATAACCTCACATAAAGTTATAGTTAGGGTTCGATTTAGTATTGATTTCTAATCAAAATGTAATAGATTTTTATGGATTAAAGCAAAGCTGTCGTCGAAGTCCTTTACCCCTGAATTCTGGCGGATTGTAGTCTCTCTGCTCTACGAAAAATTGCAGACAATCACACGTCTAATGAAAAGTGGTTTGAAATTAAATATATTAAATTAATTGCACATAAATATAAAATGAATGTGACTAACCCTGCTCATTATGGAGGTCAACGTCTCTTCGCACGCGTATTGAGCTATCATATGACTTAACTCTTGACCGAAGTGAGTGATACCATAGTCCTTGTCGTAAAATGTAACATATCCTATTAATTCAATTGAAACATAAATACTATTTAGTTATTTACTATCAAATTAGTGCTGTATATAAAATGTTGTTAAGTATATTTTAATTGGTATATCTTAAAAATTGCTAGACTGTTGTTTAGTCAGATAAACAACAATTAATCTAGGTGTTATTGATTAAAATAAACAAACAATCGTAAGTTTAATTATTAAGAATATAAAATAAAATATTTTTAATACTAGTTTCATTATAATAATTATTATATACGAGTAATACCTTCAGCACATGAATAGCATACAAAAGTGTCCCCATTGTTGTCCACCCATTGCTCATCTAATTACCGCATTTGTGGGAAGTTTTGGACGCGATGTGCGGCCACTTCGACGAAAAGTTGGGTCAACGCCATGGCCTCAACGCCAAGTTTTGCCCCACGCGTTGCACTTATTGTTGCTATTATTATAAAAGTGTTTTAGTGTTAATAAAAATATATATAAATTTCTGTTACAATTTCGACAACACGTGAAGAAGAATAGTTTGGGAATTCCTCTTAAATTGGGACAATTGTTGTCTGAACAGAGATCGACAATCGCCGGGATGTATACCACATCTGAGTAGACCACTCGCTGAGCGTTCGCGTCGTCCGGATTAGTGGCCAACACTTTATTCGCTTCGCACGCGTCTGAGCCAAACACTCTCTCTTCTAATCCATGGCTTATAATCATCACAACCAACGCCTGCAATAAGTGGTCCACGTTTTGTAACATTTGTTTCAAATTAATGAGCATTTCATTGGCGGTCCAATCGTAACACTCGTCCATTTGAAAGTGCAGTTTTTCAAATATGTGTTTAAATCTCGGTGACTCATTCGGCACCTCTTTAGACACGTTGTTTATTATAATACACTTTCCTCTCGGCTTTCGATACATTGTGTAGTAAAGGCTTCCTATAATTTAGTGATGGGCGTCCCGCTAGCGGCGTTCAATTGAAATTTATCATTTAATTTTCATGCAGTGTACTGTATAAATTATATACAAATTAGGCCCCACACATGTATGAAACTGAACAAGGTTAATGAAAATGGAACGCGTTCCACTTTTGCCCAAGCAAACTATAATTGGAGCCCTGGATTGCTGTATACTGTAAATTACAGTCTGTAATAGAATTGTAACATTTAATTATAATTATTATTATGATCGAGAGAGAGAGA